CCGAGACCAAAGTATGGAGGGCTTTGGGGCTTGAGTGGCATGGGTGACGCAATTGCTGGGTCGTCAGTTTCAATCGCGATGTTGACACGACGGCGGACCTCATACGGTAACTCTGCCACAGTCGACCTTTCGGGGTGTGTCGTACTATGTACGCCGCAGACTTCTTCGCGTGCGGTGTCATCGTTGGCAGCAGTCGAGCGTTGTCCCATGCTCTCGTATCGAGACGGCGTTGTTGCTGCCAACGCTGCTGGTGGTGCTTGTGTTTGTGCAGGAATTGACGCAAACTGCAATGATTCTTGTTCTGCCATCAATGTCGCAATTTCAAACGAGTTATCGAGTTGTTGCTGAAGTCCAGACGCTTCTGCGCGAGTTCGGCAAGTCTAATCCAATCTCCTATTGTGAAGGTTGTCGGCTTGCTTAAGTGCTAGGTACAGTCGTGGCTGCATATCAAGGCTAATTTTATCAGAGTAATTACTCTTATTACTCTGTGATTTCAGACATATCAGAAATTGTGAATTGTGAACACTGATCTATTCAGAGAAAGTGACTAGGAATTCATGTACACAGGCTCATACTAGTACTATTTCGGTCAATGTCTCAACAGAATATGACACATGCGGTCCCTAAATGGGACATTATCGGGGCAAAGATTCCCAGAAATTTCCGATGAGTACCCCCCAATGTGCGCAATGATGAAGTTGCACAACCCCATGTGCTGGAAGCGATACATGCGGAGAATTGACCTAATACCGATAATAAACCTCGCTCCACTGTATAGCTTTGCTGCACAGCACAGCTGTCACATTGCCAGCGCAGTCAAGAAGCATCATGGTTTCTGTCACGGGCACCGCGCAATGCACAATACGTGTCTCTTATTCGCGACAGACAAATGTTGGCACTCGGCGCTGGCAGCCACGCTGTCCTTGAATGTAGGGCTGGATATAGAGACGACTCGAGGTTATCACAATATACCCAGCGGTTTCGTGGCGACACGACCCATCTCCTCCAACGATTTCTTGCTTACCCTTCCACTCCCCTCCATAGTACAGCATCTGCAGTTGTTCTTTTCATTTTGGTTCGTTCACACTCTCATTTTCTCTCATTCCCGTAGTCTCTGCTTGACGCCACCATGGAAGGCCACCAGGCCGACGATGACGCTTCTCCGCAGGGTGGCTGAGCCACCCTTACCTGTGAAACATATGGAGCCACCCCAGCCAGAGAAACCTACCAATGCTCGTCGCTCTGGCCTGGATTTTCTTAAAACGAGCATTGCTCCCGTTACACCCGAGCCCCTTGATCCACTGTCCTAGACTCTGCAGCGAGGGAAGCTACCTTGCCGATGCTCGTCCTGCCTCATTCACCCTCACCCCGACTGTTGCTTCGTGCAGTAAATCTTCACCACCAGCCGCGCCAACTCCCACGTCAAGTACGGTGCGCATCACAGTTGGTTCGCCGTCGGCTTCTTCCTGCCCAAAGAAAGCGCGTTCTGGGAAGTGGGCGCAGAGTATACTGCTGATCGGAGGCCGCCGTATTGCGCCGCCTGATCCCCCGGCTGATCCACCACCTGCACTTGAGTCCGGTCTCCCGAACTTTCGAAGAACGAGCTCATCGAGCAGATGTACCTGGAGGCCAGTATCGATTACGAAACTAAGTGGTTGCCTGCATTTTCGTGGCTCTTTTTGGGCAAAACAAACGAAAGGTACCCCTATGTGAAGTGCAATGTCTTCTTATTGTACGGGAAGGAGAACACGCGATATTCCAGGAGCGGCGATGACGGTGGTCGTGACCTGCAGACGCAAACTTTCCGGATTCACGAGCACACTGATGCTCACAAGGTCGGCAAATGGACATTGCGAAGGGCATCCCTACAGGGCAGCAGATGATTGCAAATTTCATCAACTCTGACGTGGAGGTAAGGCATGCAATTAATCTCATGTGGTCGGTGCAGTTTCTGTGCCAGTGCAACGCGCCTATCAGCATGTTTCCGAAGGTGATGCGGCATCTGGAAGAGCAAGATACGCCCGACATACCGCGGCAGTCTTACCGCAGCAGTGGCAGGGGAAGAGTAGCGAGCGACTACAACGGTGTACAGGTCCTTAGCGGTCTTGTGCTGGCCGAAATGAGCACGTTCAGCTAATGGCAGATGGTTGCGAATAGCTAGGCGAGCAGCTGCGTCACGGGTCTGCCACTGTGAACGGGAGAGGCTGTCAGCTGTGTTAGGAGGAGCAACTGAGGAGCCAGGCGCGTGGTCAAAAAGGGAAACTCCGACTTTAGCATCGGTCATGAGGAACAGTTGCAGGTCATCTAGCTGTCAGAATGTCGATGTTTGTCTAGCCTGCAGCGGGGTACTCTATAGCGAGTACAACCCAATTAGGGTTTCCTATATGTATCTCAACTGCTGCTAGTGAAAACCCCTCTTTCCTGTTTCTCGTTTTCGCCTGCTGTTTCGACATGCTATCAGAGCAGGTCGGCCCTCCTGGGTCGATCCTGTGGATGGGCCCGCCACCTAATGCTTCCGCTGCTGTCCTGCCTATCGCGCGCCCCGGGCACGCAACGTGTTTTGCTTACCGCGCGCTCGGGTGCACGGCGTATTTTTCATCCCGCCGCGCGCTCGGGGCGTGCGGCGGTTTTCTGCCCGCCGTGCGCCCCGAGGCGCGCGGCGGTTTTCTGCCCCGTCGATCCGCGCGTCGCCCCCCGTCGCCCGTCGCAGCGCCCCCGGGGACCCGCGCGTCGCCCCCCGTCGCCCATAGCGGCCCGCTCGACCTGCGCCATGCCCGCGCGCGGCCCGTACAGCCCGCGCGCGGCCCGTACGGCCTGCGCCAGGCCCGCGCGCAGCCCGTGCGGGCTGCGCCAGGCCCGCGCGCGGCTCGTAGGGCTGCGCCAGGCCCGCGCGCGGCCCGTACGGCCTGCGCCAGGCCCGCGCGCGGCCCGTACGGCCTGCGCCAGGCCCGCGCGCGGCCCGTACGGGCTGCGCCAGGCCCGCGCGCGGCTCAGGCAGCCCGCGCGCGGTTCGTCCGGCCTTCGCCAGGCCCGTGAGCGGCCCGTACCGTCTGCCCCAGTGCCGCACGCCGTCCCCCGAGCTTCTGACTGCACTCCTGTGTTTTGGGGGTGGAGAGTATGGGGGTGCTGTGTGTGTGAGCCGTCCCCTGCTCCTCCTCCTCCTCCGTCTCCCACTGCTGCAGCTGCCGTCGAGGGGGGTGGATGTGTTGGAGCCGTCGGAGTGGTACGAAGGGGTGGCATGTGAGCGGTGCTAGTGGTTCAGCAGGCGGTGTGTGAAAGGGGTGTGGGACAGTTGGGGGAGGTTGACCGGAGGTAGCCGACTTGTCGTCCGCAGCGCCTGAAGTCCAGAGAGCCACGACCCCCTGTGGCCGTGTAGTCCGGGGCTCTGCGCCCGGTAGCCACAGTGTGAGCACTCCTAGTAGTCCAGAGAGCCACGACCCCCTGTGGCCGTGTAGTTCGGGGCTCTGCGCCCGGTAGCCACAGTGTGAGCACTCCTGGGAGCACAGTGAGCCAGCTGCGCCTGTCGCCGTGTAGCCCGGGTTTAGCCTGGTAGCGTCTGTGCTGCGCACTCCTGTTGCCCGTGTGCCTGCAGCTTCAGTCGTCGCCTCTCATCTTCTCGTCCTCCATGGTTTCTCCTCCTCCTCACTTGCCCTCTGTGATAGCCTCTAGCTTTGCTTATCCTTGTGAACTATTGCACTGCCTGCTTGTTGTGTTGATTGTACCCCACTTTGACTATGGGGGTGTGTCAGAATGTCGATGTTTGTCTAGCCTGCAGTGGGGTACTCTATAGCGAGTACAACCCAATTAGGGTTTCCTATATGTATCTCAACTGCTGCTAGTGAAAACCCCTCTTTCTTGTTTCTCGTTTTCGCCTGCTGTTTCGACACTAGCCACGTGGCGAACTCTATTGGGCGGCCGTCAGGGTCGAAGGTAAGGACATTTAGCGTAGCCATGGCTGCAGCGGGCGCACGGGCAGTAGTGGCAGCGCGCCAGATCTTGGTTCGGCGAATTTTACGGAAGTGGTGTTGCAAAGAATCTCTGAGTAGCTCTCATACCATGTTACAATCATAAAGAGGACTTAGCGAAGGATCATCCCAGGGTTGATCGCAGGTTGAGTTGTTGTAGCGGAAGTATTGACCTGAGGTCAGAGTGAATGTAATTGACTGAGATTATAAAAGCATGCATACATCGAGTTTATACATAGAGTACAGGGAATACGGAAAGACCTTGACTAGCCATGTACTCTAAGGGGTACATTCCCTTATTACCGTACAGTGAATTTCAACCGTGCGGCGCGGCCCGCGGAAACCCGTTTCAATTCTGTTCCCGCTCTTTCCAGTTCAAATGGATCTGCCTGCATCGGTCTTGATGTGACGGTTGCTGTCGTCGCTTCGACTCTTCTGACTCCTCGACTTCATACTCAGTAAAGTCGGCTCCTGCAACATACAGGAATGCCTTCATATCGTAACACTCTCAAACTGTAATGAGTTGTAAAACAGAGTTGCGCGGAAAATGAATAACGAAGCATGTGATTAAATGAACTGACGATACAATGAAAGCCACACGATAATCTAGCGGGTCAACCTACGGTAGCTAGGCAGACGAGAACCTCGAGAACACGAGGTTGGGTGCAGGTTGAGCAAAGGAAAACCGAAGGCGACGCGGTGTTGCTTCGGCAGCAAGCAAACCGGTCGAACGTGCACTTCCAGAAGTCGGGGTTCGCGAAAGAATAAACCCCAATAAGGAAAAGGGTTTTTACTTGCACAAACAAAACCCATAGTGTTCTATCTTGTACAAAGGGGAGGTGTCCAGATCGGTGCTTCCCACCTAAGTATTATAGGAATGATTCAAAGCCAATAAGCATCGCTACACTCCACGTCATCTTCCATTCTATTCGCGGCAGTAATTCAGTAGCATCGCGTCCGTCCACGTTTTACCGCGTGTGGCACGTGTTACCGCGTGCGGCCACGTGATACCGCGTGCGGGCGCGTGCGGGCGGCATGGAGGCGCTGAAGCAGAAGGGCAACGAGGCGTTCAAGAAGGGGCAGTTCTCCGCCGCCGCGCTCGCCTACAGGCGCGCGCTCGAGGCTGCGGCGGAGAGCGGCGAGGCGCCGCGCGAGACGGCGTCGCTGCACAGCAACCTGTCGTGCTCGCTACTCAAACTGGGCCACCGCGAGGAGGTCGAATGGGAGGGGAAGGGGGAGAATGGGGGGGGGGGGAGAGGAAGAGGGGGAGGGGGAAAGGACGGGCGGGGTGGATGGGTGGGGGAGAAATATGGTAGGTGGGATCAGAGCCCGGTGCGCTTGAGCTTTCTCCCTTCTATACGTGCCTCTCGCCCCCTTTGAACCCCCGTTCTCCTCAAAGGCTCCCCGTCTCGTGTGCACCCCTCCTTCTACCGCCATCCCTTCCCCAACCTCCTGTTTGTCTGCCCTGAAGTGGGACAGCAGCGCACTGATATACGGGTAGAATAACATGCCAAAATTCCCTCCCGCCCACCCCCGCCCTCTCCCCCATTCTCCCTCCTTCCCGCCGACATTTCCCTCACCCCCAGCCTTCACCCCATCCCCGCCTTCCTCTCAACCCCCGCCTTCACCCCATCCCCGCCTTCCCTTCACCCATGCATTCCCCTCCTCCCCCCTCCATGCGCACTCGCCTGCCCGCATGCCCCCCAGGCGCTGGAGGCGGCGCAGCAGTGCACGGAGCTGCGGGAAGAGTGGAACAAGGTGCGGTGCGGTGAGGGGGAGGGGAAGGTGTCGGGGGAGGGGAAAGGCTGGGCTTGTCGTTGGGGAGCGAGATGCAGTGAGGTGCAGGCGGACTAAGCAGGGGCACGGCGGGTGGAGGACAGAAGCTGGTGCAGGGCGGGAAGGGGTAAGTTCAAGTGGTTTGGAAGGATGGTGGAGGCGAAGGGTGCTGTTGAGACCGAGCAGGAAGTGAGGGGGACAAGGCATAGGAGTGGGGGGAATGGCATGCACATCCACCCATGCATGCATGCAGCCGCCCATCCGTGCATGCAACCATCTGTAAGTGCTCGCTCTTGTGCCTCCTCGTCCCATAAATCCCCTCCTCGCCCCATCAACCCCCTCTCCTCGCCCCATCAACCCCACCTTCACCAGGGCTGGTTCCGGAAGGGCGAGGCACTGTTTGCGTTGCAGCGGTACGACGAGGCGGAGGAGGCGTACCGGCAGGCCCTGGACCGGGTGAGCTGCTGCCATGCGCCATCTCCCCCCTTGTGTCATGTGCCTTGTGTCATGCGCAATGCAGCATGCACTGTGCCAACTTTCTCTCCCACCTGAAATGCTGTCCGGAGCTTTAGGGTGTACGCTGCGAGAGCAAGCAAGTAGAAGATCAGAGCCACCCGATTTTCGGTGGGCATAACTGGGCTGCGTGCTGTGCTCGCTGCTGCTCTTCACTCATCCCGTTGGTGCACCCGTTTGTTGCTTGCACAACCTTGGCCCTCCATCGTGCCATCTCCCTTCTTACCCCCCACCATGTGGAGCAGGCGCCAGACGATGCGACGGTGAAGCAGTGTCTGCTGTTGGCGCTGGAGGCTCAGCAGGGCTTCCTGCTTCGCCAGGTGACGCACGCCCTGCCCCTCACGCATGCCATGCATGTGCCCTGCACACCCACCTTCCCTCGCTCACATGGCATGTATGTGCCATGTGCCGTGCGCCCTCACCCCTGCTCACACATGTGGGGCATGTGTGCGCCCCCTCTGTGTACACATGTGGCTTCCACAATTCACGCCCTTGCTCCATCCAGCGCGTGCAGTGCAGTGCAGTGCGGTTCGCAGCTGGGTGCGGTGACATGAACATCATTATTGCTTGTTCCTGCTCGCCCCCCCCCCCCATGGCAGATGTTCGCAGGGCGGGAGTTCTGTGTGGGCAGAGGCCGCAACGTCATCGAGTCCCAGGTGCGCCCTCCCTCCCTGCCCAGGTGCGCCCTCCTTGCCGCCCCTCATTTGTATGTGTCCACAAACACACCATCGGACATGCATGCTCCACCTCCCTTCTGACTTCCGGAAGGGCATGCACGCATGCGCATACATGCAGGCACACCTGTCCCTTGTCATCCATCAACGTCCCGTGTCATCCCTTGTCTCCATCCCCCATCGGCCCATCTCCCCCCCATGCATGCGTGCAGATATACCGCAGTGCACAGCAGATGCGCAACTTCATCTACCTCGTCGGCGATGCGCACTCCCGAGAGGCTGTTGTCGTGGACGGCGCCTGGGACGTCGAGGTGAGCCGCTCTGCTGCTCTTTTGCTCTGCTGCTCTGCTGCTCCAATCAGTGCTGTGCAGAGGCGTGTGGTGTGTCCGTATGACCATGTAACTACTTCCCATGCTTACTTCTGATGGTCGCCTGTGCACTTTATATACCCTCTCTCGTCCACTATCTTATGCTGCACGCTATGCCATGCTGCCCAATGTTCCTGCACGTGTGAAGTCGTCACAACCCCCTTCCTCCCCATCCGTGCACGGCTCATTCCCCATCCCCTTACCCGCCCCACTGTCTCCCTGTGTGCCGTTGCATGGCGGCACGTCTTCCATCCGACCGCCCTGCCGTGTGGGGCCCCTGCTCGCCTCGCGTGGCCTGGCAGGGCATTCTGCGATTCGCAGAGGCGGAGAGAGTGAAGCTGGTCAGTGCTCTAACCCTTTTGCTGTCCCGTCGCCCTTTTGTCTGCAAACTGCCTCATCTCCCTCTGCACTCGCCCCCGTTGCCTCCATCACAACACAAAAGCATCTCTCGCTTGTTCTGATCCTTTGCGCCTTGCCCTACACCCTCCACCCCCACCTCTCCAGGTGGGCGCGGTGGTGACGCACTACCACTTTGACCACACGGGCGGCATGCCGCCGCCCCCGTTTGACGCGCTGGGCATCAAGGTGCCGGGGATCAGGGAGCTCGCTGCTGCGCACGGCCTCAAGGTGCGATGGTGTCTGCACTGAGGGGCTTGGCACTCACGCAGTGGAGGCTCAAGGTTCCCTGCCATGGCAGGGGACATGTGTGCGTGTGGGGGTCCGTGTATCGCCGTGCTTCACAAGGTGTGCCCCCTCACCAGGTGATTGGATAGTCACACAGGCTCACTAGTTGTCATGGATGTCATCTGTCTCGCATCTCTGCCCACCTCTTCACCTCACCCCCCGACGGTCTGAACCCCTACCCCTGTCCCGCTGACTCCCCACACAGGTGTATGCCAACAAGCACGATGCGGCGCTGCTGCAATCCAAGAATGGTGTTCCCAGTGACTCCATTGTGGAGGTCCAGGTATGGTGGAGGTACGGTTCAGGTACGAGGTATGCTGGAGGTACGGTTCAGGTACGAGGTATGCTGGAGGTATGATGGAGGTATGGCGGAGATATGGCGGAGGTATGGCAGAGGTTTGGTGGAGGTATGGTGGTGGTGGTATGGTGGTGGTATGGTGGCGGTATGGGCATGAGATGGGATGACAGGTTGGAATGGTATGCATGGTGTGATGCCAACATGCATTTTAGCCGATACTCGCATGCACCATGCTCTTTTTTCACCCACTTTTTAGGAAAAGGTGTGCCGTCACTTCTGTTGCAAGTGCGTTTCACGTTGTGCTCATCCCTGACTCACATTTTCACGAGCCTAACATCTTCAAACCAAACTTTTTCATAACTGAAGGATGCATAGCCTTTGGACAAATGAGAAACACCATTATACCCATTGCTAAGCTCTTCTCTCAGGGGTATGTGCAGCCGTAGTTTCTTTTCGATCCTTTTGTACCTCCTTGTTTGTTGTATCTTCTCTGGCTCATGCCTTGTTCCATTGGTGCTCATGGTTGGCAATTGGTGGCGTTGGCGAGGGCAGGATGGGGCGACGATAGAGGTGGGGGCGGTGTCGTTGCGCTTCATCCACACACCCGGCCACACGCCTGGCAGCCAGTGCATCCACATTGAACGGTGCGAGATGCACGCATGCTCACATGAATGTGCAGGAACTGTAGAAATGAGCGAACGTACATGCATGCACCCTATGCACACATGTTACACATGCAGATGCACATCGCACCCATCTGCATGGTGATAATGGCGCCCATGTTTTACCACAATCCCCTCATGCATGCTTGCATGGGCTATCGGGCGGACATGCACAAGCCCATGTGACAGCCTTATGCTGTCGCCATGTCGCATGCGCATGACCCCCGCAAGGCAGCATGCTGGGGTTATGGGAATCACTCATGGCCTCTCAAGGACCCACTCACATGTTGGCATCACCCGCGTGCAAGTGCTGCCATCCTGCCACCCACATGTCCCCTAACTCATTCACCCCACCCCCTCTCCCCCTTTTCCCCCCTCCCTCCCCTCCCCTCCTCCCCCTCTTCCCCCCTCCTCCCCCTGTTTCCCCCTCCTCCCCCTCCTTGCTGACGTGTCACCATGCATGCTCCATGCGCCAAACACAGTCCATGCGTTGTCGCCTGCTAAGATCATCCTCCCGCTCGTGCTGCCTGCTCTTCCTCTTGCTGCCCATCTGCTCGCTTGCTTGCTTGCTGCCTGCAGAGCGCCGGGCCATGATGACGGTGTTCTAATATCAGGAGACACCCTCTTTATTGGAAGGTGAGTCTGAAGCCCTGTGTGTCTGCTATTAGCGGTGGCAGCACATGTCAGCAGCGAGGCCACTGTAATCACCAAACCCCATAGCACACGAGCTTTATTCCACTCCTCTCCACTCCATTCCTCCTCACTCCACAGCACGACGGGTGAGTGAGCCATGCATGCCGTGTGGGGTGGTGGCCGAGGCAGCGCCAGAGTGAGGCCAAGGCGCCAGAGTGAGGCCAAGGCGCCAGAGTGAGGCCAAGGTGCCAGAGTGAGGCCAAGGCGCCAGAGTGAGGCCAAGGCGCCAGAGTGAGGCCAAGGCGCCAGAGTGAGGCCAAGGCGCCAGAGTGAGGCCAAGGCGCCAGAGTGAGGCCAAGGCGCCAGAGTGAGGCCAAGGCGCTGCCATGGAACTTGGGGGCTTTCCTCACACCACACCCACTGCCTTCCACATGTGTGCATGTCTGCTTCCTCTCATTCAATCTGAAGTTGTTCCTGTGCTTCTTCTCCCAACCCCCATCTTCCACAATGCGTACGCAGCACATTTCTGTCGCCACCACCGTCCCTCCTCTTCGTTTCGCATCACTGTTTCATCAAGCCACCACATGCTTCACTCCCCTTGCGCCCACCCCACACTGTGTGCAACCCGCCTGTCCACTCTGCCGCCTGTCACAGCTGTGGGCGGCTGGACCTACCAGACTGCAACCGCGAGGCCATGTACGACAGCTTGCAGAAGCTCGCTGCTCTACCGCCCGACACCAGGTGAGCGCAGTGCTGCTGCCCGACACCAGGTGAGCACAGTGCTGCCGCCCGACACCAGGTGAGCGCAGTGCTGCCGCCCGACACCAGGTGAGCGCAGTGCTGCCGCCCGACACCAGGTGAGCGCAGTGCTGCCGCTTGACAACACAAGGTGAGGTGGATGCGAGTCTCCAAGTCTTAAACATCTTTTCTTTCCAGTCCCAGTCTTCCTTTGCCCTGCAAGCTGCACGGCCTCCCAGCGTTGCTTCCGCATGTCCACCTGCTGCTCCTCTGCACGCTGCCCTGGCCCGTGTCCCTCCCTCCTGGGCGTGGTGCAGGGTGTACCCCGGGCACGACTACGGGGGCGCGTTCACGAGCATCGGCAAGGAGAAGGCCACTGGCTTCCTGCGCCCCATGACCAAGCAGCAGTGGCTCGCCTCCCAGGCCAAGTGACCCCTCCTGCTCCGCCTGCTTCCAAGTGTGCTTGCTCGTGCATGCAGTAGCTGAGGGTGGGAGGGGAGCAGTGCAACGGGCAGAGCTGGCTGGCACCAGCAATCCAGCATGCATGATGCAAGCTAATGATGGCTCAAGGATGGCCCCACCCACTCCCAAGAATGTGGGGTCGTGCACCATGTCTTGTTCCAACAACTGCACCACAGCTCTGCCCCTAGAACTGATGGCTGTCCAAGATTGGCAGGCAGTGCAGGACAGCAGCGTGGCACTAACGCCACCACGTCCGGCAGTTCCATCTCGCGTGTGTTCAGTATTTAGTGGATTAGGCGTTGTTGCTGGAGCTTCTAAAAAGCAGTAGGTTCGCACGGTAGAAAGGGGATTTTGTGCAAATAAGAATAACAAACACATCTACACTAGGAGGCTTTTGCCTTTGTATTCATGAAGGCATGGTAATTCTAGTCAAAGGAGAGCTGGCCTTGTTGCAGGCGGGTGAGGATGGAGTCAATGTCGCCAAACACCTCCTCCTTGCCCCGATGCCCGTTCACCTGCTCCCCCCACCGCACGGCAGGGGGTTTGATGGTGGCGCGGGGTGCAGAGGATGGATGGAGGGATAAGAGCGAGGGAAGTTGATGCATGGGTGATGAAAGGTGAAAAAGGGTTGTGGAGGGGGATACATTTTGGAGGGGGGTAAATTTTGGAGGGTGAGGTGAGGGTGTGTGCGTGGATGTGATGCTTAAAAGATACATCCCTTGGGTGTTGCCATCCCAGTACCACACCATGCATAAATCCTCTTCCCAGTGTCATCCCACTCCCCATGCTGCCACGCCATGCCGTGCACTCTCATCCAGCCCAAGCCCTGCACTCTAAGTCATTTCATGCCCTACAGCCCCCCTCTCCTCTCGCATCACTCTCACTTGCTTTCCGCACCAATGTGCATGTGGTCTGACCTGCACGAGCTTGCCGGCGTACATGTCGAGCACGCTGGCCACATTGGCGTTGTGTGTCTCCAGCCGCGCCTTCACCTGGCCCCGCCACGCCATGCCATGCCATGCCCGCCCAGCACGCCCCAATGCACACACAGCAGCACGTGAGGAGACAAGGAGGAAGGCACGGTCATGGGCAGACTCAGGAAAGCTAAAATGCAGGGGATTGGTGGGAGTGGGAGTGGGAATGGGCAGTGGGGAGTGGGGTGTCGGGAGTGGGCAGAGCAAGTGAGACCACAAGTGCACTGGCAACAGGAGCGCACAGCAGCACAGGCAGGAGAACGCCCCTCCCCCACCCGACCATACCCCCCTCCCACAACCTTCTCCCTGGTGTCATCTCCCCCTTATTCCCCCACCTTCTCCCCAGTGTCATCATCTCTCCCCTCCCCCACCCCCACCCCCACCCCCACCTTCTCCTCGGTGTCGTCGCTGCGCTGGGTGAGGCGGGCGGCGATCTCCTCGGATTCGGGCGGCGAGAAGGAGAGGTGGTAGATGCGGTTGGTGGCGGGGTCCAGGCGCCGCCCCACCACGCGCTCCACCAGGATCTCGTGCGGCACCTGCACGTGCCGTGCATGCACGCAGACAGGCACGCACAGACACATGCAAGTAGGGAACAGAGCAGAGGAAGGGGTGGAGAGAGAAGAGGAGAGGGCGAAGAAGGTGAGGGTGTGGATGCAGGTCACCCCTCTCCACCGTGGCCAGCGGGGTGTCATGGGGCACCAGCGCGCACAGGTAGGCGGGAAGCGGGCGAGGGAGATGGGGGGACGAGCAGGTGCAGTCACCGTGGGTGCGGGTGGCAGTCGCTCTAACGCCCAGTTCGGCTGCAGGCACCATGGAAGGAGGGGGGCCATGGGAGAGTCAGCTGGCATGATGAGGCAGCTGGCATGATGAAAGTGCGCAGAGAGCAGCACGGGCAGCAGCAGAGGCAGCAGAAGGGGCAGGGCGGTTAGAAGGGGAAGGGACGGCGAGGGCAGGGAGGGTGCTAACATCGAGGAGGATGAAGACGTCGGGCGAGATGTCGAGGGCCAGCAGCGCGTGCGCCTGCGACAAGCTGCGCGGATAGCCGTCCAGCAGCCACCCCCTGCTCTGCGCGTCCTCCTGTGCTAGGCGGTTCTTCACTATCTGCTCCCATACATGCACACGCAGGTGGCACACAAGCACACACCAACACAACACACAGGGTGACACACATGGTCAAACCGCGCCTAGGCAACAACAGCCCCATGCAGCGGCTTCTCAAGGCGCTCTTTCTTTTTCTTGATTTCTACTTCCTGGCTTGCGCCGGGTCAAGGCGCTCTTCTGGGTGAGCACCCGCCACCAACGCGGCCCCCACGCATACCACTCACGCACCCACCCACACATCCACCCTCCCCCACCCCCCACCCACCGTGACGACCACGTCATCCGGCACGAGGCGCCCCGCGTCCATGTGCGCCTTGGCCTGCCGCCCGCCCTCCGTGCCCGCTGCCACCTCCGCGCGCAGCAGATCGCCCGCACTGATGTGCGTCAGCCCGTACTGCCAGGCGCGCACCAGCATGATGGGGAGGGGAGAGGGGGGACAGGGGGACCCATAGGGGGCACGGCAGCAGGGGGCAGGGGGGCAGGGGGGCAGGGGGGCAGGGGGGCAGGGGGGCAGGGGGGCAGGGGGGCAGGGGGGCAGGGGGGAAGGGGGGCAGGGGGGAAGGGGGGCAGGGGGGAAGGGGGGCAGGGGGGCAGGGGGGCAGGGGGGCAGGGGGGAAGGGGGGCAGGGGGGCAGGGGGGCAGGGGGGAAGGGGGGCAGGGGGGAAGGGGGGCAGGGGGGAAGGGGGGAAGGGTGCAGGAGGACGCGCATGGTAGAACGGGGCGAGGGAGGGATGAGAGCGCGTGAGAGTGGGCATACAGAGGTGCGCGAGGGGGTGAAGGGGCGGTGGATGGAAGGGAGGGAAGAGAGTGGAAGGCAAAGAGAAAGAGCGCATAATTCCCGTGAAATTAACAAGTGTGTTCAATGCGTCCTCTCCCCAATACTCCTTCAACCCTTGCCACTGCCTTCTTTCCCCTTTCCCCCATTTGTCCCTCTTCCCTGCCCGCTATCCCAGCCCCGCTCCCCCTCCTCCCCCTCCCCCTCCCTCCCGCACCCCTGCGCGCGGAGCCCACCTTCGCCACAATGAGTTCGCACTGCGTGCCCTTGCCCGACGCGGGCGCGCCCGAGATCATCACTCGCAGCGGCCGCACTGGCGTCCCCGCAGAGGCCGCCTGCTCCGACTCCGTCGACACCGCCGCTCGCGCCTGCGCGCGCTGCAGGGAGCAGTGGGGGTGTGAAGGGGGGGGGAGGTCGGGTAGGGGGAGGGGCAAGGGGAGACGGAGAGGAGATAGGGGTGGAAGCGTTGGAGAGAAGTAGAAGGTGAATCAGCGGAGGGAGGCGAGAGGCGTGCGATGGCGAGGTGGATAAGAGGCGACGGCCAGGGCCCAGCGCGCAGCGAGGCGGAACGGCAGGCGGAGTAGCGCGGGTGGCGCGGGTGCTTGCACGCAGCAACGTTGCGGACAGGCGCCTGGCGGATCTTGTGGAACGAGTGCTTGCTGAGTACATTCTTTCGTCGCGTGCGTTAAGACCGGCATGAGAGCCCGCTCGCTCATGCCCTCACAGCAAAACTACGTTGCGCCACTTGCTCATGCTTCTCGGACGCTGCTGTCGCACTCGCTCGCTCAATTGCCAGAAGAGCACGTTGAATCGACGCAACACTGCGCTGTATAACCGTCGACCAATGTGCTCTATCAGATGGACAGATTTGAGAACAACATTTGTCATACGGCATGTCCCCAACCTTATGCGATCGCGTCCGTTGATTCGATCGCTTATAGGCAACCCCACGTTCGCCCGCAGCCGTCGATACCATCCGCAGCCCGTTGTGCCTCTGCCATGCCGTGCCAGATGCGGCGGGATTCACGGAAGCGCGCGCGATGCAGTCGTTTTGCGAGTGGCATAGGCTCGCAGAGAGCGAAGCCGCTGCGGTGCTCTGTCTGACTGCGAGCGTCATGCTGACGTGGACGGCGTGGGCCGGTAAGTTTAGCAGTTCTGGTACTGGGTATGCGCTGTGAGGCAATGTGTCTGCTTGAGCGAAGGCTGAGGAGGGGATTGAGGCGGACGTGGACGGGCAAAAGTGACAAGTGAGGAGAAATGGGTGAGAGTTCTTCGCTGGTTGGTGCTTATAACGAGTTATTGCGAGCCCCTCAAGCTTCGTCCTGAACTACGGAGACCGGGCCGAGAGCATCATTAGCCGATAAAGGATCGCGTGGATGTCGAGACGTGACGCAGCTGACGTGGAAAGGAGACCTTTGCGAATGCATCGTGGAACCACACACGCAGGTTGGTTTCGGCGGCGCCAAGGCAGAGCATCACGCAGTCGCGGCACTTGTGGCTGCCATTTTGAGATGGAATATTCACGGACGAATTTTCGGAGTTCACCAGAACTGGAAAACCAGTTACGACTGCGAATGTATTATCATATAGTGCATACTCATTCACAAAAAAAAAATACAAATAAAAAAAGAATACACCAAAACTTTGATAGGATCTCCAATTCTGTGATGGCGGATGGACTTGTCTTCTTTGAAGCGACTTGTTACGATATGAAACTTCATGAGAAGGCATTGCTATACGCTGCAGGAGCCGACTCAACCGAGTACGAAGTCGAGGAGTCAGAAATGTCGAAGCAACCGTTAGATCAAGACCAATGCAGGTAGAACCTTTTGAAGTGAAAAGAGCGGGAACATGTTTGAAACGGGTTCCCGCGCTGCACGGTTTGAATTCCCTGTACCGTAAAAAGGTGTCATAATATATTTCTGTATAACTGTATGTAGTTCTAGCTGTCAAGTAGTTCTATTGCTGTCCTGTTAGGTGGTGCACCCTTTGGCTTGCTATAACTTGCAACTCTTTTCATAGTGAACACCATTCTCGTTTGTTTTTTTGTCAACACCCTCGATCTTCCCCTCGCTACTCTCATCCTAACAAAAACCTAGGCTACTAAGCCTAATAAGTTAAGGATGCGGAGAGTCACTTTACAACGGTAGTGAGCTAGACTACGGGGGTTGGCACGAACTATTAGGAGTGATCGTAGCTTTGCTTGGTTCCTTAGTGCTTGCACATTCACAGGAGAAATCGGCAAGAGTTTCCACTAGCAAAGTTGGGAATTACAGAATGATTGAACAAGCGATGGCAACAATGACTACATCAGGCACCTAGCAACCCTGCAGCTAGCCTGGTCGACCGCCAGCACAGCTCGGTCGACCGCCTACCAGCGTCGCGTAGAGGAGCCGCGCCAGCACTGCAGAAGGGCGACCTGTCAACAGAGCAGGTCGACGGCGTGCCAACGCTGTAGCAGAGCGGGTGTCCAGCGTTGCCCCGTAGAACACAGCAGTACGCACGCTCGCAGATGCGCGCAGACGATTGGCCCGACTTGCCTCGTTGGGCATCCGTCGGCTGTTGTCTGCGCCTGAAGAGCCACATCGACTTCGGAATACCAGCCCGAAGTCGCCTGCGCCATCGTGACCTCGACGACGTTCGCGTGCCTCCGCAGAACTCGTCGAGCGGGTTACCCGGTCGACCCGGTCGACCACCAGGTCCCTCTGGTCGACCACAATTCCCGTCGAGCTACCCCCTGGTCGATGGACCCCTTCCGTCGACCAGAACCGTCAGCGGTTGTCGCCGAGCTCCCCTCGTCGACCGCTGCTCACTTGTCAGGTCGACGGACTGCTCCGTCGACCTCCCGGTTGAGCTGCAGGTCGACAGATTGCTCCCGGTCGAGCTGCAGGTCGACGGAGACCCCCTGGTCGAGCTGCAGGCCGACGGAGACCTCCCGGTCGAGCTGCAGGTCGACGGAAGCCTCCCGCTCGAACTGCCCCTCCTGGCCGACGGCCCACCCGTCCCCCAGACCAGTCAGTTGCAGCTGTCGAGCTCCCTGGTCGACAGCAGCACCACAGCGGTCCCCTGCAACTCGACAAAGCCTATCGAGAAGCTCTCCCACTGTGAACGGTCGGCTGCTACTCCCGTACATCCGACCAAGTCGTCGGCGTTGCCCAAGCGAGGGCGGGGCCAACACTCCACTCCCGTTAACACTCCGCTGCCGCGCTCACGCTTGGGCCTCCAGCCCACACGTCAGTACTTCACGGAGAAAACTCGTCCTCGGCGTGCACCCCACACACAGCATGCCGTCACCGCTCCAGCCGTGCAGAAGGGCACGGCACCTACTGCTGCACCTCGTCGTCGCCGTCCCCGACGTCGGCCAGACGAACTTGGCCGATGGCGACCGAGCACCGGTTGAAAGCCGGAAAGTGCAGCGCCTTCGTCAGGAAGTCCGCCGGCTGCTCGGTGGTCGAGATGTACTTCAGCACGAATTTCCCGCGCCTCACCATGTGCTGCAGCCAGGCGTAGCGTCGCTCCATGTGCTTGAGGTTGCCCGTCAACCCCAAGCCCTCAGCGACCGTGATTGCCGACTTGTTGTCGACGCGGAGGATGGTCGGCTTCCCAGCGTCGAGCAGCTTGAATTCCGCAAGGAGGAAGCGAAGTCGACGACTCGGTCGATGAAAATGTCGCGCACTTGATGCGCGAGCTCGACCAGGAGACGGCGGCCCCTCCGTAGACGAACACGTAGCCTCCCGTGCTCGTCCGGTTCTGCTTGTCGCCCGCGTCGTCGGCATCGACGTAGCCGATCAGCTCCAACGATTCTGGTCCACCGCCGAACTCCAGGGCGGTATCGCGGGAGTCGGCGAGGTAGGCGAGGCAGCGGTCGACCTCGCGCCAATGCTGGTCGCTCCTCACCGTGAGGCCGCTCCCTAGCTTGCTGCAAGCGAACGCGATGTCCGGCCTCGTCGTCGTCGCCACGAACTCCAGCGAGCCGACCTTCTGCCGGTACTCCTCCTCTTCGCACTCCTGAGCCTCCTCGTCGTCGAACGTCAGCTGAGCGTAGGCGTCGACCGAGACCGGCGTCTTCGGGACTCGACCGCCATGCTCCTCGTCAATGAAGCGCCTGCGCAGCTTGTCGGCGTAGCCCTGCTGGTGCAGCCACAGCTTCCTGGCCGGCCTGTCGCGCACGATCTCCAGCCCAAGGTACTTCACCACCGGCGAGATCTCGCGCAGCTCGAAGGCGGCCTCCAGCAGCTCCTTCAGCTCCTTCAGCATCGCGATGCTGCTGCTGGCGGCGAGCAGGTCGTCGACGTAGACCAGCACCCAGCAGGTCACTCCGTCGCCGCCGGTCTTGAAGTAGAGCGCCTTGTCGACCTGACTCTTCTTCCAGCCAGCGCCCAGCAGCACTCCATCGAGAGCCCTGTATCACAGCAGCGGCGACTGCTTCAACCCGTAGAGGCTCTTCAGCAGCTTACACACCCGACCGGTCCCATCGTCGAAGTAGTCCGGGTGGTAGATGTAGAGCACCCTGTCGAGCTTGCTCTGCAGGAAAGCGTTCTTCATGTCGAGCTGCATCAGGTTGAGGTCGAGGACGGCGACGATGCTGAGGAAGATCCTCAGCGTGACGTAGCTGCTCACCGGCGAGTACGTCTCGTCATAGTCGGCACCGTACACCTGCGTGAAGCCCTTGACGACCAGCCTCGCCTTCTCGCGCTCGACGGTGTCGTCGATGCGGTACTTGGTCGTGAGCACCCACCGGTTCTTCATGATGTTCACCCCACGTGGGCGTTCGACCAGCTCCCAAGTGCCCATGCCGATGAGGTTGCGAATCTCTTCTTCCATGGCGGCCTTCACTGCCTCGCCCTTCCAACTCAACAGCGCCTCCTTCACTGTCATCGTGGCGATGTCCCAGCGGTGTTCGGGGTCGGCATGCATGTCGGGGTCGAGCTCCGGCAGGTCTTCATCCTCCTCGGCGTCGTCGTACAACAGGTTGTCGTCGACCTCGTCGTACACCGTGGTGAAGGCAGCTGGAGGAAGGTAGGCGTGGAAGCTGAGCCGCTCCGGCGGCCGTCGAGCTCGACCTGTGCGTCGCAGCTCAGGCTTCGTTATCGGCACTTCCACCACGTCGCTGTCGGTGGACTCCTCACCCGCGGACTGCTCCCCTTCCTCGTCGACGTCCTCGTCGTCGACCCGCCGGCTGCTTCGACCTTTCGACGGACTGCTCGCCTGCTGCTGACTTCGACAGCTCCCCTGTCGACCGCCCCGACAGCTGCTCCCCTGTCGAGTTCACCCCTGCTGTTGCTTCCTGTTCAACCAGCTCCCCTGTCTGGTGCTCCCCTGTCGTCGACGACTTCCCATCCTGGTCGACGGGCTTGGCGCCTTGTCGACCGCCGGCGATGCCACTAGCCGGCGCCACGGGCGACGCCTCAAGGCTCCCCTCATCGCCGGTGGTTGACACAGGTGCTGGCACAGGCCGATCTGCGACGGGGAACGGAGGAGCAAGAACAGGGGGAGGGGAGGGAACCTCCACAACATCCTCATCAGCAGGCTCGTCGACGTCGGCGAGCAGTGGAACCGTTGCCGTCGTGGTGTCCGTCGGCGGGTGCGCCTGCGTCCGCTCCGACGCCGGCCCATACTTCGCCTGCCACACCTCCAGCGACAGCGTCTCGTAGAAGATCACCTTGACC